TATAGTTGCTTTGAGACTCAATACAGCCAGCTCTTGGCTATGAAAACTTAACCACTGTGACTCCATCTTGGGCTATAACCCTGTCTGTGTGCTCAGTGTCCTCATCTCCTGCCTTATTAGCAAGGAGTCATAAATTCTTTAGAGACATGTAAAAGGGGTGTATACTGCACATTAATGAGATTGTAGAGGAAAAACAGAGACTTAAAAAGAAAAACAGTGACTTCCTTTTGGGACCCTTACCCTATCTACCTATAAGTGAGCTCTAACTCCTATCTCAATACCAAATGAATTTTCCCATTCTGAATACACTGTCTATTGATTCAATCCAAGGTATTACCAAACATGGGACCAGCAGGTGGTATAGCAGTTACGTCACTGTACTTCCACGTAGTTGACCGCGGTTCACGTCCTAAACCCAGTGGCTTAAAACTCACCTCGGGTGCATGTGCGTGCATGTCCAAGATCTTGAGAGGTGAATGGAGAAGGGACTGTGGCATGGCCATCCCCACTGGGGGGCGGGGGTGTGATTTCTTGCTTTCTGTCTCTCTGTCTCTGTCTCTCCAGCATGCACACATGCTCTAGAGCAAAAATCTCTCTTAAAAAAAAAAATGCCAGACTTGATTACCTCTGCACCCCTACCTTCCCTAAATCATTTATGTTTGAAGCTAAGTGTTATTACAAGAGCCAAAAAGGTTTTTTTTTAAAAACTAGAGTTTTTAAAGTAAAAAGTTTACAGTAAGCCAAGGTTGATTACTGAAGAAAAAAAGAACTTCTTTTGAGATATTCTTTTGAGATATTCTTGCTATAGGGTGTGTGCACTTGCCAGAAAGAGACAGACAGACAGAAAGCAAAAATCATCCCCCAGTGGGGATGGCCACGTCACAATCCCTTCTCCTCCATTCTCCTCTCGGGATACAAACACAATAATCTGGGCTTTAATGCTACATCCCAGATACTGATATCTGGTTTGTCTTTTGAATAATTTAAAGTAATGGCCAGTTTCTGTTCTCTTAAGATGATACCTGCCTCAGGCCTATTCGGACAGAATGGAAGCCGGGAGCCAGCTGCCTGGGTTTATTTTTTAAGGTTTACTTCAACCAAAGCTCATAGACTTTGTTATTCATGACTTAACCAAGTGGCTAAGAATACAAAGCTCAGAATCAATTCTTAACCTACTACTGTGAGTGAATATTAGCAGTAGTCAGTCTTTATCTATTTTTAAGTTTTTGACTAGCATGTGTGCTCTCATGAAAAAGAGACAGAGAGAGGGCAATGATGACAAAGAACAATGCCCTTAAATATCATTGTCCTGAAACCTGGTGTCACCCCAGCGAGGCAGAGGAAATACACGGGAACCACAAGATGCATAATTAGGTATCCAAGGACACACTGAATGCCTCAAAGAAATAGGAATTCTGGTGGAATGTCAGTCTGGAACACTCCACTACTGCTGGTTAGGAACCCTGGAGATCACCAGCCAGAGCAAGATCTCTGTGCCCTAAACGCCACTGTAACCCTTCACTCTGTACTACGTAAAACTCCTACCCGCTGCTGAGCCTACTACTACCTCAAGCTAGTTGGTTCTCATGCTTAGACCTCAAGGACACCTTCTGTCTCCACTGACTTTGAAGAGCTGGCCTGTTTGCCTTTGAATGGGAAGAAAGTTTCCCTTGCCATTGTGATGCTGACAAACAGTGGGAGATACAAGTGGTTGACAAGGGCGAGGATGGCTCAGTACCAGTGGTTACTATGTGAGAACTTATGCTTGCAGCTAAACCCACCGTGCACCTGTGTGTGCATGCTAAACTCAGCCACTTCTTGTCCACCAAGACTGGACCACCCTGTCATAACTGCAAAGACATCATCGTTGAGGTCTATTCAAGTAGTATAGACTTGTCAGACAAGCCCTTCCTGGACCGGGTTTGACACTCTTCACAGTTAGCAGCAGTTAGATACAGGATGGACAATGGAGAGCTGGATACACGGTGACCACAGTTTTTTTTTTTTTTTTCTGAGAGATTTTTTTTTGCTATAGGGCACGTGTGCTCGCCAGACAGACAGAGACGGAGAGATAGAAAGCGAGAAATCATCCCCCAGGGGGAATGGCCACACCGCAACCCCTTCTCCTCCATTCTCTTCTCAGGATCTTGGATATGCACGCACACCGCCCGGAGTGAGTTTAAGCCGCCGGGTCCTGGACTCTAACCACGGTCGACTACATGGGAGTCCAGTGACATAGCCATTAAGCTAAGTGCTGGTCCCAGAAGCTCATCAGCTTTACAGGCTGAACTGTGGGCACTCATCTGGGCACTACCACACACGTGACTATTTGTCTCACGTATTTGGCTAAGCTGGTGCTTGAGTACCATGAATTGACACGTTGGGAACTGTTTTCTGCAACCCTGTGCAACCATATCAATAGATGTAAAACCTGCACCTGAACAATGCCCATCACAAGCCGAACCGGTCCACTGGAGTCCAGGCAACAGGAACCTCCTCTTACAAGCAGACTTGATTAAGGTCTAGCTACCAATAACTGTCACAGGCACCACCCCGTGAATCCATCACAGTAGAATCAAGGGGACTGCCTCTACAGACCCAGGCAAAGCCCCTTCAGAAAAGAGGAAGTCTATGGGACCAGCAGTTGGCATAATGGCTATGTCGCTGAACTCCCATGTAGTCAGCCGCAGTTTGAGTCCTGGACCCAGTGGCTTAAACTCATGCTGGGTGCATGTGTGTGTGTGCCCAAGATCCTGAGAGGAGAATGGAGAAGGGATTGCGGTGTAGCCATCCCCCCTTGGGGGTGATTTCTCACTTTCTGTCTCTGACTCTCTCTGTCCTTCTGGCAAGCATATGTGACCTACAGCAAAAAAAACAAACAAACAAAAAAACAAACAAACAAAAAACACCTCTCCAAAAAAAAAGAAAGAAAGAAAAGAGGAAATCTATAGCCCTGCTCTAGTTACTCTGGAGGCTGATGAGTCAATGTAGGCAGAAGTCTTGAGGAATCTACAGCCCTACTCTAGCCACTCTAGAGGCTGACTAGTCAATCAATCCATGGCAGAAGCCTAAGGAATCTACGGCCCTGCTTCAGTCACTCCGGAGGCTGACTGATTTACGTATGGCAGAAAAATCAAGAATACACCTGTCCAAGACAGCATGAGCCATGCATGTGCAGACATGCCCAATATCCCGAGGAGAATGGAGAAAAAGGGACTGTGGCATGGCCATCAACCCCCCCCAGGGGGGTGATTTCTCACTTTGTCTCTCTGTCTCTCTCCGCCTCTCTAGGGAGCACACATGCCCTACAGTAAAAATAGCTCTTAAAAAAAAAAAAAAAAAGGAAGTTATTGTCTCAGTTTTGGAGGTTAAAAGTCAGAAATCAAAATGTCGGGAGAGATATAATTCTTTCAAAACTTCTGGTGAGGGTTATTTTTTGATCCAGAAAAGTGGGGGATTAACAGCCTCTTTCAGCTGCTGGTAGCCTCAGATACTCCTTGGCCAACATAACTCCATTAATTCCAATCTCTGCTTCAGTATCCTATAGCCATCGTCCCTGTGTCCACGTGGCTTCTCTCTCTGTGTGCACAGATGTGTGTGTACAAATGTTTCTCTTGTAAGGACACCAGTCACCTTGGATTAGGACCCACTGAAATGACTTCATCTCTACTTGATTACACCTGCACAGATCCTATTACCAAATAAGGCCACAGTCACCCTAGGTAGGAACTTCAACATCTCTAGGAACTTCAACATCTCTCTTTGGGAAGCATAATTCAACCCTTATCAGCGAGTATTCTGGAGAGTTAAGGAGAACTCAGCGTAAGCTGCTGAATAAGAGGAGTTTCTCAGGCTGATTAGACAAAAGGAAGGACTGGGGCACAGGAACGCAAAGGGTTACAATGGGTGCTGGAAGTTTCGAAAGAATTCTCATTAAATCACTGCCAGAAAGTCTTTTTGAAAGTCTGAGAAGTACATTAAAATGTCAATAGTGGTGGAATTATGGATCACTTTAATTTCTTTATACTTTTTATGTATTACAAATTTTCTACAATAAGTACACATGACTTTCATATCACGAGAACTAATCATTATCCAGAAATTGTCAATCCTGAGTGCATATAATCTAGAACCAGATGGTGAAGTGAGAGAAAAATATACAGATAAAAACCTCCAACAGGGTAATAAGCAATAGCACTATATGAAGAGACTAGCACAATGTAGATACTTGATGGGTGTTCCACAATATTTCTGCTGACATCAATAACCTTGTATATGCAATGAATGACTTTGACAAATGTCTACAGCACAGTAAACAGCTGACGGCAGAGACGAGGTCAGGCAAAGAGAAAGAGTGGGGAAGATTTTCTCAATTTTTTGATCCAGAAAAGCGGGGGATTAACAGTACTTTCCAGAAAGAAGAGGTTCTTCATGACTAAAGAGAGAATTCTACAAATCTGACAAATTTCAGAAAAAGTGAAATAAGCTTATTCCACAAGATGCCCACACTCGGTACCTTTAAAACCAGTCAGGATACTTTAGTCTGCAAATAGTCAAAAATAACTAAAATTGCTTTATATAATACGGGAGTAATGACGTATAACAAGAAGTTTGAGATTAGGGGAATTCCAACAAGAGCCTGTTTCTTCCGGCCTTCTACCCTTCCATCTTTTCTATGCTCTATTCCAATATAGTTCCTAAAATCAGAAGTAGGCTAATTTTTTCCCAAACATCTTTCCTTTTCTTTTTTTTTTCTTTTAGGTTTTTGTCATGGATCCCGTGTGTATGCCAGAGAGACAGAGAGGGAAAGTGAGAAATTACCCTCAAAGGTGGATGACCACACCACAATCCCTTCTCTTCCATTCTCCTCTTGGGATTTTGGGCACACGCACATAGGCTACCAGGTCCGGGACTCAAACTGTGGTCGGTCATGTAGAAGTCCAACAATTTAACTACCACACCATCTGCTGGTCCCTCCAAACATATCTTTTTTGTTGTTCTGGTTTTTTTTTTTCTTCTTTTTTCTAAAACAAACATCTTTTTAAAAGCTACAGAAACATTCTCAAAAGAATGTTGGAAAATTTCCCATCCCATTGGCCAGAACTACCTTGTATGGGACTCCCACTGTTGAAGCACATGGAAGGCGAATGCTAGACAGTTTAATAAGGAAGATCCAGAATAGAAGTAAAAAAGTAGAGAAATGGCTACTGAAGTCAATGAATGGCACCTCCTGTATCTCTAATGCACAGGATATGCAGGGAGTTGAACAGACTCTACAACTGGAATCTGAGTGGATAATGCTGTTGGATTACTCAGGATAGACATAGGAAGTCAAAGAAAGGACCAAGGGATTTGTGGCCCTTAGCTGGAGTATGAGGAGGAATTCTTGGGCAGCAAAAGAATAGCATCATTTCTTATTAGTCGATTGTGGGATGACTAAAGATGCTAAGGGACTCAGCCAAAAAAATGGACGGAGGCGTGAGACAGAACAAGAAAAAGTATATAGGTGCACTCCATCCACAGCACTGTAGAATGAGACACTCCCAGCCTCATGATCTAGGTAAATCCCGACCCGGTGAGGAGCTGGCTCTTGCATGGTAACAGAAGAGCTCGTTGCAGGTCGATAGCCAGCCCCACTCCAATAAATGGCCCAAATTCCCATATGAGGGGATATTTCTGAATTACTGGTAATCCCCATGACATCCTCCCGACACACCCCAGCAGCAATCTCCAGGCCATCTCTTCTCTCAACTTCCCAGTAATGTTTCCCTGAGGTGAGAACGTTTTTTCCCAGAACACAGGGTAAGTATTGAAATTTCTCTTCTTTGCTGTTCTGAGGATTCCTCCATCCACTGAAGTAGTTCCATGCTGTAGAAAATACTGGCCAAGAACCAGCTGGTGCTGCATTTTTCACATATCTTCCTTCCTGGGCGAAGACAAGTTTGGGATGAGCTGTGTCTTCAGCTAGGGTTACAGTTACTGCACAAAAAATGAGAGCAGAGATAGAGAATGTCATAATAGCTAACCATCTTTCAGACATGTCCATCTTTTCCAGCTTCAATTTCATCTTTTTCTCTTTTTTTAATTTTGTCAATCATAATATGTATTGTGGTCTTGTTCTTTTTTTAATTCATTTCTTTACATTCATTCACTGTATATCAATACAGTATACAAAATGAAATTTTTCATCCAGAATACACTGTGTATTGGTTTAATCAAGGATATTACCATACACATCATCAACAAATAATTTTCCATTTCTTGTTTTGTATGTATTTTGCTTTTTCTTTTCCCCCTTGATTCCCTACTTCTCACCCTCTGCCATTTCCCAGCCTCCTCCCACACTGTCTCTGGTATCTATAGCTGTTTTCTATGCCTTTTTCTTTTTTTCACATTTTATTGATTCATAAAGATCTTAATTTAAAAACTTACAATAGCAAGCACAGCTGATATATACACATCTATAAACACATGTCTGACTTTAGGCATAAATCTCAGTGAGTAAAGTGAACATACGATAAAGTAGCACCTAGCTGGAGCTATATAACTTACTGCGGTTATTAAAAAGGTACTTTTATGCGTTTTTTAATTTCAAGATGTTTTAATTTTAATAGATCAAAATCAAAAAATGTTAAGAGAATTTTGCTTAAGACTTAAAGCCAGGAAAAAAGTTAGGAGATTCAGTTCAAATAGTAGGTAGATGAACCTATCAACAGTTCAAGAGAAGACAAAAATCCTTAAATATGGAAATCAAAGCATAGAAGAAAATCAGGAATGTTTTAGTATAAAGTCAAAAAATTTCATTTCACCAGTTCAGTCTCATGTAATTAATCTCTCTTCTATTGAATTTGCAGTGTTACTGTGGTCTGATCTTTCCATTTAAACTCTGGAAGTTAACATTTAACTCTGGATTTGTCCCTACCATTAGGTTGGCCATTTTTTTGCTTGGTTATTATACTCTTATAGCTGTATGTCTGACTTTAGTTTTCCTGGTATAGCACTCTGTTTCAGGACTTTTTTTTTTTTTTTTTGGAGAGGTTTTTGCTATAGGGTGTGTACACTCGCCAGAAAGACAGAGAAAGAGAGACAGAAAGTGAGAAATCATCCCCCAGGGGGGATGGCCACGCCACAATCCCTTCTCCTCCATTCTCCTTTTGGAATTTTGGGCACACACACATACACGCCCAGCATGAGTTTAAGCCACTGGGTCCAGGACTCGAACCACAGTCAACTACATGGGAGTTCAGCAACACAGCCATTAAGCCAACTGCTGGTCCCCCCTAGTGTGACTTTCAAGCTACTGGGTCTTAGACTCAAACTGCAGTTGGCCATGTGCATGTCCAGACCTAAATGCCATGTCACCTGCTTCCTGGCCCAGCAATTTGTGTCTTTTAAGGACCCTGTCTCTTTCTTTCTTTTAATTTGCCAGTGAGGATGTGTGCTCACCAGAGAGAAAAACAAAGAGTGAGAAGGCACTTCCCCATCAGGGATGACCGTGTCATAGTCTGTTCTCCATTTCTCCCTCCTTTCAGGATTTTGGGCATGTACACACACATGCCTGGCATGTGTGTTAATGTTTCTTAAATGAAGCATTTACCCATTTATTCCTAAGTAATTATTAGCAATTTTTCAAGCCAGTGGGTTTGGGACTTGAACCACATAGTCAGCCATGTGAGATCAACTCACCTTAATCCCATGCACCCCATAGCTCAGTCATGTTGACGCAAAAGTAACATGAGAACTACTTTTTAAAGAGATTTAAATAAAGACAAAAACATATATTTACTAATGTCATTTTTAGTACTCTTCTATTCCTTTAAGTATATACAAATTTCCATCTGGTATCATCTTCCTTCTGCCTGAAGGACTTTCGCTAACATTTCTTGAGGTGTTCGTCTGCTCTTGGTAAACTCTTCAGCTTTTGTATACCTGCAAACTTCTTTATTTCACCTTTGTTTTTGAAAGATTATACATTTATGTTAGTAGTTTTTCTTTCAGTACTTTAAAGATTTTGCTGTCTGAGACCAGCAGATGGCATAATGGATACTGGACTCCCATGTAGTCAGTTCAAGTCCTGGATCTAGCAGCTTAAAACACTCTGGGCACATGTGTGTGCATGCCCAAAATCCCAAGAGAAGAATGGAGGAGGGAGGACTGTGGCATGGCCATCCCCTCTGGGAGGTGATTTCTTGCTTTTCTGTCTGTCTCTGTCTTTCTAGTGAGTGTGCACACCCTATAGCAAAAATCTCTTTAAAAAAATATTTTGCTCTGTATTTCTATAACATTTTTTTCCAACCACTGATAAACACTGGATCCTACTATACTACAGTGATTGGTCCAGTTTGCTTGTAAACTCTTAGAAGAAAACAGGGTTCTTTACTTTTGTATTACTAGTACCTTGTATTACTTCTACCACGTATGTTAATGTTTCTTAAATGAAGCATTTACCCATTTATTCCTAAGTAATTATTAGTAATTTTCCTACACTCCTGTGGTCGCATGTACTCCTGGGGAGGGGGCTAGTGTTCCCTTGTTCGTTTCCAGGCTTCTCTCACTGTTTATTCTTATTTGAAAGATTTTTAAGGGCTCCAACTCCTAGAAATTCTGCTCACCTTGAAACTGCTTCAACATTTCCTTCATCAGTGTTATCTGGCACACTGTTTTCACTTTCAGAACTTCAACGGAATAGTTCACACCCTGGTTCTCACTCCTAAAAAGAGTGCAGAAGGCCTTTCTTAGGAGACAACTAAGGATAGAGACTGCCAATTCCCACGTGAAGGTTCCAAACCCAAAGCTCACCAGAGAGAAAAAGAAAAAGAAAATACTGTTTTTCCTCACAAAGCTGAAAAGTTGAATTCCTCCTCCACAGAGTGTGCCCAGGTTGATCTGTGGAGGTCAGGCCCTCTGTTCAATCTCTACCTTCACCTTTCTACCCAAGTCCTCGTAAGCAAGAAGGAACTCATACCTGGTCAACACACCTTTCGGATTCTGTAAAGAGAAGAAATAATAATTTAAAGACCTTCCCTTGAGACCTGGTACACAACTTTATGGGCAGGTATTTTCTGTCAGCTGCTTTTGCTAATGTCACATTTGATCTCATGCTGCCAAAGTCAAAGGATGGACACAAAACAGTCATTTTTTCATGTACCCCTCTGCATTACTAATGTTGATCAACTCCTTTTCTTGAAAACCTACTCTCACTTCTTTGCTGAATGATATTAATTCATTCTCAGCTCTTCACATGTTTAGCCATCTTTTAATTGCAAAACCATCTTTGACCTTCGGCAGTATTCCCCGCAACTTCAGCTTTGACCTGTTTTTCTCCATCCCTGCAAGTTTTTTACTTTCATAATTTTTTAGTGTGTGTGTGTGTGTGTGTGTGTGTGTGTATGTGTGTGTTTTTAAACATTTATTTATCTATTTGTTTGTTGTAGTTTTCAAGCTGCTGGGTCTGAGACTCAAACCGAAGTCAGTCATGTGGGAATCCAACACCTTAACCACTATGCCATCTGCTGGCCCCCTTTGTTTTACTAGATTACTTTTAATTTAAAAATTGCAAGGGAAAAAAAAATGGCAAGGGATACTTTTCTAATGCATTTAAATGTATTTAAGAATACATGAACTAGGGACTAGTAGTTGCCGTAGTGGTTATGCTGCTGGACTACCACATGACTTACCACAGTTCAAGTCCCAGATCCAGTGGCTTGAAACTCATGCCGAGTGCATGTGTGTGCATGCCAAGATCCCAGGAAAATGAAGAAGAGAGTGCGGCGTGGTCATCTTCCCTGGAGGGGTGATTTCTCAACTTTCCCTCTCACTGTCTCTGTCTCTCCCATGAACACATGTGCCCTAAGGCAAAAACCTTAAGAAAACACAGGGGCTGGCAGGTAGCACAGTAGTTAAGAGCACTGAACTCACACATGGCTGACGGCAGTTCAAGTCCCAGACCTGTTGGCTTGCTTTCTCATTTTCCCTCTCTCTCTTTCTCTTGCTCTGACCCTCTCTGGTCAAATTAGAAAAAAAAAAAAAAGACAAAAAAGAAAATACATAAACTCAAGGAAAACCACATATTTTATATGAATACATTCAAATAAGAAGAAATAATTAAGCAGAATATTTTCTAGCTGAGATTATATGATCTAGTTCCATTTTCTTTAATCATTCCCCTACCCTTGCACTTTTTTGTTTTGGGGGATGTTTTTTAGAGAAATTTTTCTATAGGACATGTGCACTCACCAGAGATAGAAAGTGGGAAATCATCTCCCAGAGGGGATAGCCATGCAGCAATCCCTTCTCCTCCATTCAATCTCTTCTCCTCAATTTTCCTTTTGGGATTTTGGGCACACACACACACATGCACCCAGTGTGAGTTTCAAGCCGCTGGGTGTGGGACTTGACTCTGGGTCTGGGTTGATTGCCATGGTCAACCACATGGTCAGGGAGACGGCCATGCCACAATCTCTTCTTCTTCATTCTTCTCCTGGGGTCTTGAGCACACATGCACACATGCCCGGTGTGATTTTCAAGTCACCAGGTCCAGGACTTGAGCCATAGTTGGTCATGTGGAAGTCCAGTGACATAACCATTATGCCATCTGCTGGCCCCTTCAGATTCTTTAATCTTCAGTCACAAAATAATAAGAAATGAGGTTTTGACCTCATATGACACCCAAGGTGAATTATTTCAGATCAAAAAAACAGAAAGAAGCTATGAGAACCTTTTACCTACAGAAGTTATAAAAGCAAAAGTCAACTTAAAGGAAGGACTAAAGATCCCAATTTAAGTGCTAAATTAGAATTTTAATCGTTTAAAGATTACTGTATACTGGGGCCAGCAGGTGATGTGGTAGTTAAGGACTTTCACATGGCTGACCAGAGTTCGAGTCCTGGACCTGGCGGCTTGCTTTCTCACTTTCTTTCTCTCTCTCTCTTTCTGTGCCCTGTAGCAAATTTTAAAATAATCATGATAAATAAAATTAATCTTTAAAAATTACTGTATATTACAAATCATTTAAACTGTGTATGAATCAAAATGTGGGAAAAATGTTATATCAAGCTGATTATAATTTGGGGAAAAAATAGAGAGGTAAGACCCTTGTGGGACACAGATACAGTTTATTATCTGTGGACGAGGATGTGTATAGTATTCTCAACTGGGCTAGAATGAGGTGTACATCATGCTTGGTAAAGTCTCTTTATAATATAAATGATGCATAGCAATTGAATGTATGAATAATAATATCAATAATAAAAGACAAAAAAGAAGTTTAAAAAATTTGTGAGAAAGATAAATTTCTCTTAATACAACCATTTACTTTGTGGCTTTATGCTTGTTTTGCTTTACTATTTAAAGAATTATAAATGTACAGATGAGTAGAAATTATAAATGTCTCAGATGTGTTTCAGATTTTAGATAAACTATTAGACCATATAAATCTAGGTATAATTCCTGAGCTCAGCGTACCTAGGTTTCGCATTAATTTCCTTTGAGTGGTAAATTTTTCTTTCTCTTTTTCTTTTTGCTATAGGGCACATGCATTCACTGGAAGAGAAGAAGTGAAAAATCACCCCCCAGGGGATATGGCCACATCACAATCCCCTCTCCTCCAGTCTCCTCTTGGGATTCCAGGAATGTGATTTTCAAGCCTCTGGATCCAGGACTTGTTGACCATGTGGGATACAGCCTCCATAGCCTCCACACTATCTACTGGCCCCCTGAATGGTGGATTTTTCACTTTGCAACTATATGATTACAGTAGTAACACAATCGCCAACAAAGAGACTTGCCTTCTATTAAACATGTCACCAGGAAGGACATTCAGCTCTAAAGACAAAGTGTTCAGTTAGTGATGTAAAGATGACCTCTCACCTGGAGCAGTTTCAGAGTGGAGGCTTGGCTCTTCTCTCCCACCTCTAAGATGAGATTCCTCAAAGAAAAGATTATTTGATTGAGCGTTGATTTGTTCTCATTCAGTTTCTTCTTTGTCTCTTCTTCTTCTTCACTTAGTCTCTGAAGAAAAAGCTGCTCTTCTTCAGCCAAGAAGTGGTGCAGCTTTGAAAATTCTGCAGCAATTATCCTTCGCTGATTCTTCATTTTCTCCTATGGCCACATGAGATTGTTCAGTCTTTTGTCTGCCTCATCTTTTCTCTTAAATTCTTAGCACATGACTCTCCAATCAACCATGGTCCTTTCGATCTAAATCAACTTCTCCAGAAAAGTTCCTGCTCTCCCACCACAACTTTCCATTGCTCCTTTACTTACACCTACTTGGTACCTTTGTATTAGTCATTGCGTTACTTATTCATTCTTTGTAACATCTGAGTCCCTGCTGCAACAGCAATGCCTTTCTTGTATATTACTTAAACTAAAATATAGTTTCATATCAACTATTTAGTTTAGCCCTCAGAAACATCAACTATTGAGGCCAGCAGTTGGCATAATGGCTATGTTGCTGGACTCCCATGTAGTCAACCATGGTTCGAGTCCTGGACCCAGTGGTTTAAACTCAAGCCAGGCATGTGTACATGAGTGCCCATGATCCTGAGAAAAGAATGGAAGAGAAGGGACTGTGGTATGGCCATACCCCCTGGGGAGTGATTTCTTGTTTTCTGTCTCTGTCTCTCTGGCGAGCGCACACGTCCTATACCAAAAAACCTCTCAAAAAAAAGGAAAAAGGGTAACCAGCAGTTAGCGTAATGGCTATGTCACTGGACTCCCACGTAGTCGACCGCGGTTCGCGTCTCGGACCCGGTGGCTTAAATCTCACGCCGGGCGCGTGTGCGGGCGTGCCCAAGATCCCGAGAGGAGAATGGAGGAGAAGGGACTGTGGTATGGCCATGCCCCCTGGGGAGTGATTTCTTGTTTTCTGTCTCTGTCTCTCTGGCGAGCGCACACGTCCTATACCAAAAAACCTCTCAAAAAAAAGGAAAAAGAAAAAAAAAGAAAGAAAAAGAAACATCAACTATTTAGCTTTTGCTATTTTTATTATTATTATTATTTTTTAGTTTGCTATATGGTGCATGCACTTGCCAGAGAGAGAGAGAGAGAGAAAGTGAGAAATCATCCCCCCAGAGGGATGGCTGAGCTGCAATCCCTTCTCCTCCATTCTCCTCAGGATTTTGGGCACGCATGCCCACGCATCCAGAGTGATTTTCAAGCTGCTAGGTCTGGGCTCAAACTAGGGAATTGGCCACGTGGGATCCAGCTGCCTTAAACTGCATGCCATCTGCAAGCCCTAGTTTTGGTTAAATCTTTGGGAATATGTGTATGCATGATACCTCCAACTACACTAACCTCCTTGAAAGCAAAATCTATTCACTTGTTTCTTTCCACAATGCCATGAGCCCAAACTAATTCCAATCTAAGAACTATACAGATATTTAGGGGAAAGTAGGAGAAAGAGGAGCACTACCTTAGAAATACAGAAATGTAGTTTTTAGAATTCACATGATTCAAGTCATACGTCAGCAGAGAATACTTCCTATTCTATCACTGCTATGGTTTAAATATGTTCCTCAAAAAATCAAGTGTTAGGGACCAGCAGTTAGCGTAATGGCTATGTCACTGGACTCCCACGTAGTTGACCACGGTTCAAGTCCCGGACCTGGTGGCTTAAACTCATGCCGGGCAAGTGTGCATGCGTGCCCAAGATCCCGAGAAGAGAATGGAGGAGAAGGGATTGCGGCGTGGCCATCCTTCCTGGGGGTGATTTCTCGCTTTCTGTCTCTCTGTCTCTGTCTGTCTGGCGAGCGCATGCGCCCTATAGCAAAAACCTCTCCAAAACAGAAAAGAAAAAACAAATCAAGTGTTAGGGACCAGCAGTTAGCGTAATGGCTATGTCGCTGGACTCCCACATAGTCGACCGCGGCTCGAGACCCGGACCCGGTGGCTTAAAACTCACGCCAGGCGCATGTGCGTGCGTGCCCAAGATCCCGAGAGGAGAATGGAGGAGAAGGGATTGCGGCGTGGCCATCTCCCCTGGGGGCGATTTCTCACTTTCTATCTCTCTCTGTCTGTCTGGCGAGTGCATGCGCCCTATAGCAAAAACCTCTCCAAAAAAAAAAATCAAGTGTTAGAAACTTACCCCCAAAGCAGTAACACTGAGAGACGGAATCTTTAAGGAGTGATTAGGTCACAAGGACACAGCCATGAATGGATTAATGCTATAATATTATCACAGTTTGCCCCTCTCATGCTCTCTCAACACTCTTGCCCTTCCATCTTCTGCCATAGGATGTTGGAGCATGAAGGCTCTCACCAGATGCTGACACCTTGATCTTGTACTTTCCAGACTCCAGAACTGTGAGAAATACCTTTCTTTTCTGTATAAATTACCCAGGCTATGGTATTCTGTTATAGCAACACAAAACAGTCTAAGACAATCACCTTATCTGCAAGAGGTGTGACAACTGAAAATACCCTGTAAGCAATTCTTGCAACTCTCCCTTGAGTTACTTCAGACTAAAAGGGTCATGGGGCAAGAAATACAAAACACTTCTGCTATTACCTTCCACTTGGCAGCATTCTTCTCCTCCATGTTCTGTAATTGTGTGGCTTTCTTAATCTTGGCCAGGAGGCTAAATTGAGACGTTAGAAGTTTCTCCTGCCAGCAGAAACACAAATAGGTATGAAATCATGTCTCCAAGAACTTTCCTTATTTAAGAGCTAAAACTGGGAATGACAATGAAAACATATTGAAGGCAGGCACAGGCTTATAGTGAGAACAATCCTGTTCTGAAATCATAGCACTATTCAGAGTTTGCCTGAATTACATGAGGATTAAATATCTACTCTTGGAAAGGGAGAAGGTCTCTAGCACCATAAATAGTAGGAGAGTAAAAGGTACTATCTTTTTGAAGGGCAACTGACAGAATTTAATAAAATTTAAAATGTGCATAATCTTTTTTTAAATTTGCTGTAAGAACATGTGCACTCATCAGAGAGACAGAGAGAGGGAGAAAAAGTGAGAAAGGAATCCCCAGGATGGATGGTCACATCACATTTTCTTCTCATCTCAGGATTTTAGACATGTGTGAACATACCCCTGGCTTGTTTTTCAAGCCACCAAATCTGGAACTTGAACCACAAAGTCAGCAATGGTAGGAGCCATCCGTACCAACCACCATACCACCAGCTGGCCTGCATAATTTTAATCCTAATAATTCAACAAAACATTAACAAATAAATCAATATGTAAAGGAATGTTTGCTGCAGCATCACTCATTATCCATTAATGGGAAATTATTAAATAAATTATGGTATATTGGTACTATACATCAATTTCAGGAAGCTCTCCCCACATTGATATGAGATACACGTTAGTTTGAAGCAAGCTGTAATGCAATATGTATTGTTTAATTGTGTTTTGAAAACATACTTATGTGGGGCTGGCAGGTGGCATGGTGGTTAAGGGCGCTGTACTCCCACATGGCCAACTGCAGTTCAAGTCTTAGACCTGGAGGCTTGGTTTTTCACTTTCCCTCTCTCTGTCCCTCTCTGGTTATATATATATATATATGCACGTGTATATTTTTACGTGTATGTGTTGGTATATGAATGGAAGAAATATCTGAGAAAGGCCAGCCCTGGTGGCAAAACAATAATACTCTGCAATGCTGAGATCATATGGAAAGGCCCCTGGTTCACAGTCCAAGGTCTCCTCATACACATCAAATATGTGCATGCATGTGATCCTGGCTAGCTGAGGTCAGGGTGGATCACACTGTACACGGAATAGTGCTGTTATCGCAGGAGTGGGTCAGTTATCTCAGGAATGGATTGTGATCCTGGCCAACTAAGGGTGGATCATAGCATTGAAGACCCTGTTGGGGGTGGATGCCTGCCCTCCTCACCATGGACAAATAAATAAATAAAACCTTAAAAAATCAGGAAAGATATACAAATGAATATTAATGCTGATTATTTCTGGGAAATAAGAATGGCTGGGGAGCTGTGAGGAGGCTAGAAAAATTTTAAATTTCTGGTTTGTTTGAATTTCTACAAGAGGCAAATACCATTTTTGTAATTCAAAATCTCAGTAAGTTCTTTAAAAATAAAGCAATAAATCAACATTGACAAAGTGGGCTGTTGAGAGGCAGCATCTGACAGCAGAATGTCGAGCATAAGCATAACCCCAGGGACAGAAAGATACGGACTAGGGAAACACACAGAAGAAAATCAAAAGAAATTGTTGACCAAAAAGCTATGGACAGAAAGACTCCATTTAGTCTCTGGGTTCTGGTTTAACTACGTGGATTGTAGTTCATTAAACCAATTAGGACATCTAGAAAGATGAGCAGTATGGTAATGGAAGAAAAGAGAATCTGGGGACCAGCAGATGGTATAATAGTTACGTCACATAGTAGACCACGGTTCAAGTCTCAGATCCAGCAGCTTAAAACTCACGCCTGAGATCCTGAGAGAAGAAAGGAATGCAGCATGGTCATCCCCTCTAGGGGGTGATTTTTTGCTTTCTGTCTCTCTGTCTTTCTGGCAAGCACACACAACCTATAGCAAAAAATCTCTTAAAAAAATTTAAAAAAAAAGAATCGACTTGAATAAATTGAGTTGGGGATCTCTGTGGGATATCCAAGCGGATATAGTTAGCGGTAATAATCAAGAAAGAAATAGGAACTACAGAAGCAGATTGAAGAGGGGGCAGTTGAAGCTGTAAGTGTGAGTGAACTTGTATAAAGTAAAAAGAGGATTAAGGCTAAAACCGGGAACTACATTTACTGGGTGTGCAGAGGATGAAAATCCTCTAAAGAAGCTAAAATGGGCAGTTGGTAAAAAAAAAAAAAAAAAGGAGAATAGTTTCTTTTTTTTAGGATTTTGCCATAAAGCATGCATTCTTACCAGAGAGACAGAAAAAGGGAAGCGAGAAATAATCCCCAGGGGGTTGTCAATGCCTCAATCCCTTCTCCTCCATTCTCTTTTTGGGCACCCTGGTGAGATTTTCAAGCCACCGGGTCTGGGACTCAAATACTGGTCAGCCATGTGGGAGTCTAGTGCCTTAACTACCACACCATCTGCTGGCCCCAGAGAATAATTTCTTATATAACTAAGAGAGAGAAAATGTACATTTTAAAAACTTGTGAAAAGGGTGTAGATATGTTAAAATAAAAGGCTAAGGGCCAGCAGATGGTGTGTAATGGTTATGTCACTGTACTCCCACATGGCTGACCATGGTTCAAGTCTTGGATCCAGGGGCTTGGAACTCATACCAGGTGTGCGTGCAAGTGTGCCCAGAATCCCAGGATTAGAATGGAGGACAGAGGATTGCAACATGGCCATCCCCGCCCCTCTGGGGATGATTTCTAACTTTTTGTCTCAATGTCTCTCCAGTAAGTGCATGCATCCTCTAGGAAAAAATGTCTCAAAAATAAGAGAAAAATAAATAAATAAAAAGCTAAAAGAAAAAAATACAGAACTAGAAAAGTAAGCTGTATAATGAAAAAAACTGTCTCCTAGGAGAATAACAAAAAAACTAACAGGTATAACTTATCTTCTAATTATTTATAAATGACAGTGGTTACATAAAGATAGCTCATTTAAAAGGTGGACGGTACAAAGTTGACAAGAATGGGAGCAACAAAAATTATCATACAATTTTGGTAGGTGTGTGAAGTGGTAGGCCATTTTGAGAAAAGGCCCAGAATGAAGGTAAACATACATTAATCCTACGACACAGCAGTTCTACTCATAGACCCAGGAAAAATGAAAATGTATCCATGAAAAGATCTAAACAAGAATATTTATAGCAGCCTTATTTATAATAGTAAAAAACTGGAAACAACCCAGATATCTATTAATAGGAAGATGAATAAACAAACTGCACTGTGTTCATATAATAGACTACTACTCAGCAATTAAAACATAATACTTCAAAAATACCATAAATAAATGTTAAGTATGACTAATGACACACATACCAAAGCATTTTGTTTGCAATTAACTTTTAAATGCTTCAAAAGGAAATAACAATTGATGAGAGAGAAATATAGCTAGATGGATGGCTACAAGATAAACAAGTAAAGTAAAATGTCAATGGTGGGGGCCAGCATGATGATTGGGATGCTGGACTCCCACATGGCCAACCATGGTTCAAGTCCTGGACCTGGTGGCTTGCTTTCTCACTTTCCCTTTCTCTCTCCCTCTGTCTCTCTGGCCAAATTTTTAAATAATAATAATAACAATAACAAAATAAATTTTAAAATGTCAATGGTGGACTCTAGATGTGAGTTTATTGGTATTACATAAAATACTTCCAACTTTGATGTACATTAGGAAATGTCATAGTGAAATGTTGGGGAGAAATAAGAGTAGGCTACAAAAGGGATTTACACAGTTCAGTTCATCTGTACTATAGTTCATCTGTACTATAACTGCCACTTTGTGATTAGTATCAAATTTGATATGTATGAGGCTTGTAATAAGACACACAACTCCTTTAAATAAGACCAAGATTTTTGATAGGTTTCACTTTTTTAGTAATGAAAAAAAACTTTATAGAGATTTTCGGTGTTTAACAATTCCGGTATGCACAAATAACATTTCATGGTTCTATTACGCAAGACGCTACCTAAGTCTTTTCAAATCCTGTCACAGTTAGGATCCAAAGTAGGACCCAAGTAAATCTGAATAAAACACTTTCCCTGCAAAAACAGCAACTGCCACAAGGTGGCAGGAGAGCAACACCAAGCATTTCAAAGTTGGGGTGTATCAGACGTTTAAAAAAAAAATCTTGGGGCTGGCAAGTAGTGTGGTGGTTAAGGTGGCTGGACTCCCATATGGCTGACCATGGTTCAAGTACAGACCTGGCAGCTTGCTTTCTCACTTTCCCTTCTCTCTCTCTTCCTCTCTCTGGTCAATGTCCAAAAATTAAAAAATTAATAAAATTACATTAAAAATAATTCTTTTTTTAAAAAAATCACTTTCTGGGACTAGCAGGTGGCATGGAGGTTAAGGTGGCTTTAGCCATATGTCCCATATGTCAGACTCCAAGGTTCGAATCCCAGACTTGGTGGCTTGAAAATCACACAGGGCACGAGTGCATGCACATCCAAAATCCCTGCATACTCCAAATCCCTGCAGGGCAAGAGAAGGGAAACCCATCCCCCTGAGGAGAAGGGAAATGCACTGGGGTGGGGGGTGGGGGGTGGGGGTTCTACTCTCTGTCTCTCCACAAGCGTAGGTACCCTATAGCAAAGATCTTAAAAACACACACACTTTGTTTTTATTTAACATCAAAAAACTATATATAGTATAATAAGAGTATATTTATAGAATTAATACACTAATTTATGACCATACAGCTCAGACATTAAACTTCAAAACAGGAGACCTGAGTTTCAGTCTAGACCTTCAAAAACTAGCTGTGAATCTATGAGCAAGTCAGCCTCACACATTTCCTGAGCCACAGGTTCCTGAAGACAAGACTTAAAGACAGACTCAAATACCATCCCAAGTCTTACTTTCTATGAATTTCAGTCATGTAATCTCTGCAGTGAAACCAAGCAGGTGGGTCTGCTTCCAAATTATACCTTGGAGCTGCCTACTTGTCAACCCCACTGCCACTTTCTAAAGTAAGTCACCATTGTCCCATATCTAAACAATTACCTCTTGACTGGTCTTCATACTAACATCTCACCCTTACCTGGTATCCACAGAGTAGCCAGAATAATCTTTCTAAAAACCAATTTGACCAGATCACTCCCCTGCTAGAGATCCTCATTGGCTATCATTCTCATTGAGAAAATGCTAACGCCGTACTATTATCTGGCATAACCCAGCCCTGGCCTGCTTCTCACATCTCGCGTCATGCTTTGCTCATGATGCTCTGGGCACAGGCTTTCTGTTCCGTAAGTATACCCGGTCTCCCCAGCCTCAGGCCCTTCACACTTGCTGTCCACAGCCGGATGGCTCTCCCTATGCTTCCTCAGATGGCTGACTACCTTCCGTCCATCACTTCTCAGCTGGAACGCCATCTTCTCAGAGCACTCTGCTCACCTTAGTAAAGGCCCTGCTACTTCTCTGTCACAGCACTTTCTTTCATGTTGTGTATCTGTGTCTGAAACAATCTGTGATTATTCCATTATTTGTCTATCATCTACCTCCCCCCACCAGACCAACTAGAATTAAATTGAAAGAATAGCTCCTGGAATCAAAAGGCTAAACATTACCTGAGGGAGAAAAGAGTTGTGCTGAGAAGTGTCTTCCATGCAAGCAGTTTGTTTCCCAAGGTTTATGTAGCTATTTGTCTCTCTCTGTCCTCCTTAAGATAACTCCTTCTAAAGATTTTTTAATTGAAGTCTCCCTCGAAGATAGTACTAAAATGACACCGCCCCATGGTTCTCGATCCCATCCATACATCAGAATTACCTAGAAAATTCTTACACTGAATCTTGCTGATACCAAAGGCCCCCTCCAACTGAATCAACATCCTTAGGGTGGACCCCTGGCTTAGATACTTCTTAAAAGTGCTCCAAGGCAGGGGCCAGCAGGTGGTGTGGTGTTTGGGTGTGCTGGACTCCCACATAGCCGACCACAGTTCAAGTCCTAGACCTGGTGGCTTGCTTTCTCGCTTTCTTTCTGTCCCTCTCAAGTCAAATTAAAATAAACAAATAACGTTAAATAAAATAATTCTTAAAAACAAAATGCCCCAACACCCTTTGGTAGTGGTCCTAAAGTGTATCTTGTGCCACTCGTGTGACCTACAACAGCAAGCAGAGTGGGCTAGGGTTTCAGCGGGATTCCTAGTATAGTGTTTAGGGACTGAGATTCAGAGAGGAAGCATCTGGCATACTGCTCACAAAGCTCAGGTATGGGTATAGGACAGGGGTATTTTCAATGGATTTAGGGAATTCCCAACTGGCCAACTTTTAAGACATAATCCACTCACCTGATTACGTGCTGGGAATGAAATGCTTGATAATGGGGCAGCTCCACTCAAAAGAAATATGTTTTTCTAACTAATTTGGGGTGGGAATAGAATGAGAGATGGATAAATCAAACAGTGATCAAGTAGAGAAGGATAAAAAGAGGGGTGAGTATTGGAGAATTCTGTCTATTGACCCAATTCCTGAACACCTGCTCAATCAACCTTCAGACATTTAACCCACTTCAGTGTGATCCTTACTCCCTCACTCTTGACCTGCTGGACCATTTTGTGTAATCCTGAAATCCCACCTCTTCTAAGAAGTCTTCTCGGATTAGCTGTGGCATAGTGAAAGTGCAATGGATTGGAATTGTAAGACCTCAGTTCAAGCTTAACCAATTCCTAGCTCTGTGACTTCACATAAGTAACCTCATATTTCTGTGGTTCAGTTGCGTCATCTGCAAAAAGTAGTAGGTTCCATCGCACAGAGTTGCCATGAGGATTAAAAAATGCCTAGCAATATGGGTGGAGCATAAGTAAATAGTACTGTTAGCTGGGCCAGCCCCATAGGCTAATGGATGAGGAGCTGAATCCCACATGGTGGGCCCAGGTTTAAATCCCAGCCACAATGACTTGCAAAACACACTATGTGCATGTGTATGCATGACTGAAACCACAATAGCATGGAGAAATGGAAGAGAAGGGACTGCCACACGACCGTGCCCCCATTGGGAGGTGATTTTTCCCTCTGTCTCCCTGGGGAGTGCACATACACTATGGCGATTCAAAAAAAAATAGAGCAATTGCAGCCTCACTGGTCTTTTCCATTCACCCATATGAATAACAAAGTGATCTTTCTAGAACAAAAAACTATGTCATTCTCTGTCCTAAAACCTTGTAAGGACTTCCCATTGCCAAAAGCAGGAAACTCTCTTTTTAGTAGGGTGAACAAGATCCCTCATTACATAGCCTTTACCTGTCTTGAACATCAACTCCCAGCATCCTCCCTCTCATGATTCACATCCCAGAAGTACTAAGCAACCTCCCGTCCTCTCACATATCACATCTAACATCCACACATTTTGAATATGCTATTTCTTTGGCCTGAAATACCCTCTCCCTTACCATGCTGTATTCACCCTTCAAAAGCTAACTTATGTTTAACTCCCCTGTGAAAACTCTTCTCACTCCCTAACTACTGGGACTTCAGACCTTCTGTGTACTTTGCACAGATTTCAACAACTCTTCACACACTGAAATTAGTGCTCTATGTGGTTACGTCCCCAACAGGACAAGGCCCATGTCTTTCTCATCCATTTATGTCCAGATTTTAGAACAATGCTTGGTGCATAGTAAGCATCAATAATGGTTGCAAAATGAGTGTATGCTTTTTAGACCAGCTTTGCATCTGTTTCCTGTTCATACCCAGCTGACAAAACTACAGCATGTTACAGTTTACAAAATATTTTTACTGTATCATTAAATGCATGTATTCATGTACTTACTGAATATCAATTCTGTTGGAGGCCACTGGAGTTACACCGTCAGTAATGTAAAGGGATGGGACTACTCTGGAAAGGATGATCAAGGAAGGTCTTCAAGCTAAAAGCGAGAAGAATCTAAAGGACAGAAGATGTGAGTAGAGAAAGAGAACAGACTTGAAACAAAGGCAAGAAAGCCAGTGCGGCTGGAGTGGAGTAAAGTAAACCGACTTATTCAACTGAAGCTTCTTAACCCATGAGACAGGTAGGTACTTTCCCAAATGATGAAGGAAGCCAGTAACAAAACCCAGGGTCATCACACCAAGCCAGGCTTTTCCCAAATCATCAGTCATCTACATCTATTGGTATAGATCTGCACTGTTCAACACAGCACCCATTAGCCACAAACAACGAAATGTAGATAGTTCAAATTGATGTGTGCTGTAAGTGTAAAAAAACCCACTGATTTCAAAGATCTATTATGAAAAAACACAACGTCTCATTGATACTTTTCATCTCAATGTTGAATAATATTTTAGATGAAATAAAATATAAAATAGGCATCGCCTATTTTGTTTGCATTACTAGAACACGTTTAAATTACATATGTTACGTATTAGTCATGTTCCTATTGGACGGTACTGGTATACACCCACTCAGTGTATTTCTGGCGCAACTAAAAGCTCCCCAGAGGCCAGTCCCTGGGCCCTGCTCCTTGATTTACTGAGAACAACCCTTCCCCTAATCTCAGTTTTAACCCCAACTTCCTTGAATTTCAGGGGTCGTGCACGCTTCCAATGGGAAATGGCAGTCACCTCAAGGGTCTTTTCTGAAAATTAACGAAACGTTCTCGGGCAGTACTAAGTGACCCCTAACGGTCGCCGCAACGGCCGGCTCACCCGGTAGCTTTTGAAGGCCTCGTCCACGGGCGACAAGTCGTGGTCCTGGTGCTCCTGGGACTCCCTGCACACCAAGCACACTGGCCGCTGGTCGTCCTCGCAGAAGAGCCGCAACGGCTCCCAGTGGCGGCCGCACAGATCTGGGAGCGCCGAATCCGGGCGCCGGCATCGCATTCTCTCCGTCAGCCTGGCCAGGGCCCTGTTGGGGCGCATAGTGGAGGGCGCCGACAGCTGGCGACACTCGGGGCAGGTTTTTCCCTTTCCCCGCCCAGCCGCGCTGCAGGCAGTCACGACAGAAGTTGTGGCCGCACTCGATAGAAACGGGGTCCTGGAAATAGTCCAGGCAGATGGAGCAGGTCAGCTCCTCCTGCAGGTCGACGGCTGCCATCCCGCCTCTCTGCCTCGGAGCGGGGATCTGACCGGAGGACCGCTGCGGGCGGGCGGGCGTGGGAACGGTCAGCTGCCCTTGGGCCCGCGGCCAGCGCCCCTCGCCTAAGGAGGAGCGTAGTCTTCTTTCCGAGGTTTAGGACCCGAAAGGGGTGAGAGTCTCCCAGATTTCAGTTTCTGTTGGGCGGTGGCCCTGAGAGCAGGAGGGTGGGCCGTTATTCCAAACAACTATAGAGAGGCGGAAATCCTTCCCGGACGTGGGCTGCTCCTCCAAACAACCATAGAGAGGTGGAACGGGCAGCTAGAGAGGGCTGGAGGGGCCGTCGGGTGGGGCTGGCGGGCAATTCCTGTGCGTGCCGTCGGTGGTGGGACTCAGCGGAGAGGAGCCCTCGGTGTTGACCTGTCGTTCCAGTGTGAGGCCTGACGTGTGTGTTTGGCCGCGGCTCAGCCCTATTGTAGGTTCTGGAGTCCGAGGGAAGTCACAACCAGGAGGAAATCTCCCTCTTCTTTGTTCACTCTCATTTTTCAGGTAGAGGAACCCGATCTTCACCTAGACCTTCAGCCCCAAGGTCTAGTCGAGTTCTAGTGTTAAGGTAAATTAAAATAGACTCTAGTCTTGAAAACTCCCTGAGCAGACAAAGCCAGTTAAGCTTCATGAATGACCCAGCTTGAACTACAAACAGAATCAAAACTTGAGTCATTTCTGGCAAATGCCTCTATTAGCCAGAATTAAAACCTAACCCCAGCCAATTATAAGCAGTCAACTAATATATGATTGATGATGATATATGATTGATGATTGACTAGGTGCGTTAACCAATCAAGTAATTTGTTTTCGCCTTTTTTCAATAGATACTTGCTTCTGGTGTTTTGTCATTAGAAAAGTAAACATCTTTGGTCTGGTGTTACACAATTCATGCATTGCTTCATAATCAGATAAACTCTACATTTATGGTGTCTCAGATTTTTCTTTTAACACTAGAAAAAGTCGCCAAATTTCCTGGTGTTCAAAGAGTTGAGAGAGGGACCAGCAGTTGGCGTAAAGGTTATGTCGCTGGACTCCCATGGAATTGACGGAGATTCGAGTCCCCGCCTGGTGGCTTAAACTCACACCTGGCGCTTGTGAGTGCCTGTCCAAGATACTGTGAAGAGAATGGAGGAGAAGGAATTGCGACTTGGCCATCCCCCGCCCCCCTCCCCAGCGGGTGATTTCTCGCTTTTGTCTCTTTGTCTTTGTCTTTCTGGTGAGCTCTCTCGTCCTGTAGCAAAGACCTCTCAAAACAAACAAAATAATGGGACCAGCAGTTAGCGTAATGGCTATGTCGCTGAACTCCCATGTAGTCAACCACGGTTTGAGTCCTGGACCCAGTGGCTTAAACTCACGCCGGGCACATGTGCGTGCATGCCCAAGATCCCAAGAGGAGAATGGAGAAGAGATTGCAGCATGGCCATCCCCCCAGGGGGCGACTTCTCGCTTTCTATCTCTGTCTCTGTCTTTCTGGCTAGCGCTGGTGCCCTATAACAACAACAAAAAAAAAGGTAAGGAAACTGGAGAACCAATTTTCAATGGAACAGAAAGGAAATGTTTAGTCCCACAAGCTGTGGGGAGCTATCTGATACCTTGTCACTCTGATTTTCCTCTCTTCCCAGGCATGGGAGACAAATGCCTGCTAGAAATCCCTTTGGTTTTTTCTTTTTTTTTTTTTTTTTTTTTTTCGCGGGGTTTTGTAGTACGGGGCTTTGTCGCAGAGAGAGAGACATAGGGACAGAAAGCGAGAAATCACCCCCCAGGGTGGATGGTCACGCCGCAATCCCTTCTCCTCCGTTCTCCTCTCAGGATCTTGGGCACGTACGCACACGCGCCCAGTGTGAGTTTTAAGCCCCCGGGTCCGGAACACAAACCGCGGTCGACTACGTGGGAGTCCAGCGACATGGCCATTACACTAACTGCTGGTTCCCAAGAAGTCCCTTCTTATAACTTGGAACACACTCGGTGCAGATAAAAGTTCTAATAAATTAGATAAGAGAGAATTTGGAGTCAAATGGTCTTCTCCAAAACTGAGACTTCCCACTTGTATTTTAGGTGATTCAACTCCCAGGAGGTCTGGCTTTAAGAAGCTCTAAGCCAATTCTGGATAAACTGCTGAGTTGCTGTCATCCAAGATGCTAGGAAGGAGCAGAGCCTGTAGCCAGTTCCTCGCCCTTCTACCAGAGGAGATGCTGGTGTATAAGTAGTGCTTAGGAAATGGAACTGAGGTTGTTGCTGTTGTAGAGCACTATGAAAGATCAGATAAGACCAGGAGAGAGGGTGACAAAGAAATAAGCTTTTTTAAAGGGGTAGTGGTTAGGATTCATAGGCACAGATACATTGCCCTTTCTGGTATCCACCTTGAATAGCAATCATTTTGCTATCTTAAGGAACATCCAACACCAACAAACACTGTGATTGCCTGTTTCAAGAAATTATGTTTCCCTTCATGTATGTTTTTTAAGGTTTTTGCCATAGGGTGTGTGCACTCATCAGAAAGAAAAAGACTGGGGGGGGGGCAGCAAATGGTATGGTGGTTAAGGCACTGGACACTCCCATATGGCCCACCATGGTTCGAGTCCAAGACGTGGTGGCTTGCTTTCTCACTTTCTCTGTGTCTCTCTCTGGCCAAATTTTGAAAAAAAAAAAAAAAAAGAATAAATAAATAAAATTAAATATTTCTTTATAAATAAATGCAAAGCATTCTCAATATCCCTTAGAAAGAAAGAAAGAAAGAAAGAAAGAAAGAAAGAAAGAAAGAAAGAAAGAAAGACAGTGAGAGGGAAAGTGAGAAATCACTCCCCAGGGGGTATAGCCACACCACAATCCCTTTCACTACATTTTCTTCTCAATTTTGGGGCATGTGTTCACACATGCCAGGCATGATTTTCAGGCTGCAAGGTCCAGGACGTGAACTGTGTGCAGCGTGGGAGTCTAGTGCCTTGATCACTATGCTATGTTGGCCCTCTTCAATGGATTTTTTTATCTTGTGTTGCTGAGGCATTTTTTATTTTTATTCTTCCCACTTTGTTCCTTTTCTTGTGAATGAGATTTGTCAAAAACAAAATCTTTAGACCAGTTAAATTTAACAGAATTTATTGGAGCAAAGAACAGTTCACAAATTGGTTCGCACTGAGAACCAGGAGAGTTCAGAGAGCTCTGTGCAACAGTGTGAACAGCTAGCTTTCTAGGAAGCAAAGTAGAGAAATTGCCTGGTTGGCTACAGCTAGATATCTTCCTTATTTGACCATGGTATAATGAGGCAGTTGCCTAATTTGGGCATTGTTTGGTCAGTTGGCTATCTGTTGTTGGCTGAAGTTCAGCTATTTATGATTGGTTGAAACCCAGCTATTTGCTATAAAATATATACTAAGTTTTGTTTCAGTGTGTTGATGTACTAAGTAAGGGTTGCAGGGTTGTTTTTTTAAAAAAAATAATGATTTCATTTATTTATTTTAATTTGACCAGAGAAGGATAGAGTGAAGAGAGAGGGAGGGAGAGAGAAAGAGACAGAGGGAAAGCGAGAAAGCAAGCTGCCAGGTCTGGGACTTGAACCATGGTCAGCCATGTGAGAGTCCAGTACCCTTAACCACCATACCACCTGCCAAACTACAGGGTTGTTTTTTTGTTTTGTTTTGTTTTGTTTTTTTAATATAGGAATTTAAAAATACCAAGCCTCAGGCTAATGGCCCCCCTGTTCATTTAATGTAACAGATCTTTAAACCAGATGGCAATGATGTACCATGTGCAAACTGGGACATGTATAAGATACAAAAAAGAAGGTGGATAATGCAAAAAAAAAAAAGAGGATCTGAGCATGCACAAGGAGTCCTCTCCCACTTTGAGATACCAGCACCACTTCCTACATACGTGGCAACTCAACCCCTCAAACAGGAGAAAATGCCTTTGGAATTTGAGTTTCCCTTCTTCATTCTCTGTAGTCAAAGAATAAAGTTTCTACTCTGTTATATTGAACCTGGTGTCATTCAGTCAGCGTGAGTGGCACTGGATAGAACAGAACCTCTTGGGTTCCCTGATCTGCATGGATTGGTGAAAGTATTGAGAGTATGGGTTTAGAAATTGTACTCTTGGGCCCATATGAGCTGCTGCTGTCCTGCAGATAATGAAACAGCTATAGCACACCACGCAGAGAATGAGAACTGAGCAAAGGCTGGAGCTATCAGTGGTCAAAGGAACATAAGCCTCTGAAAGCACAGTAATCTTTCTGAAGGATGCGGTTGGATGTCTGAATAAACTCCATCTAGATATTAAGCGACATTGAGTTTTATATGCTTGGAAGACCAAACCTTCTGGCTATCCCATATGCTGCAGGAGATAAATAAGTTACAGGAGCATAAATAGGTTACAGAATCCAGAACAGAAAAGAGAAAAGTTGTCTCATTGAGAAAGAAATAAATGTCTTCAGCTTTTTGAATGTCAACAACAGTCATCAATATTTATTGAACAGGATAGGGGAGAGGCATAACTTAGGAAGTCTCAGCTGGCTGAGTGTTGAACCAAGCCCATAGAAATCCTGGTGCTGATACCAGAGAATTCTGACAAGAAGCCACCGTCAAGAGTTTTTCAAGGAAAGTTTTCTTTAGATCATGGTCCTTAAAAGATCAATCAACTATGTCTAATTTGTCCTGGACATGAATCCCCACTCACTGGATGTTGGAAAGAAGACCAATCATAGGCAAGCCAGGTGTCTCCATAACTCTGCAGAGAAAACAATCGAGCAGAAGCTGAAATTTTTCCCAGGTGGGAAGAGATCTAAGTGGAAGTTCAGGAGGTAAAATGGACCTCGTCCTGGTTCACTGGATGGAATCATCAAGCTGAGTTAGAAGCAGTGATCAGAGTACCCTGCCTACTCTGAAACATGGGGATGTTGCACTTCTCAGGAGGGTGAGAGCCCTGCCCTAGAAGGAGATCACTGGGACAGAGACATCAGTGGCAGAAACAGAGTCATTTATGTCCTTCTCACCTGCTTCTTGCATCTGCTCTTTCGTCTCTACCTCTGGAAAGTTGTCAGTTGGTTTCTTATGTCTTCTGATGCTTTCTAAAGTTAGGAAGTGTTTAGAAGAGGGAGATTTGTGCTTCTGGGTTCTCCACCATCTCCCCAAACTCAGAAGCACAAGTTCCAAAACAGCCAGTAAGAGACAGAACCCACTGACCCCAAACATGGTCTTTAGGAAGATGGTCTTCTCAGAGGGGCGGGACAGATGACAGGTTATACTACCAAGACAAGGCTCTCGACGACATGCAAAGGAGCTGGGCACCTGGAACCCATACAGATGGTACTGCAGCCCCAGAGCTGCTCCCTCCAGAACCAGTCGGGCCCCCAGTTGTGCCACATAGGCCCAGAACAACCTGGAGCTTCCAGCCCTTGAGCCATCTCTGCTGCTGTCCCCTTCCTGGATCAAGTTCTCCTCCTCCTTTTTTCCTTTTCCTGATTCTTCACAATGCCAGATCACATGATACAGGGTGAAACCCATGTAGAGAGCACTAGGGACAGCCACTAGGAAGACCTGGAAGGCCCAGAAGCGCAGTGGAGAAAGGGGGTGGAAGGCATCATAGCAGGCAGCCTTGCAGCCTGGCTGCTGGGTGTTACACACGAATTCACTCTGCTCATCGCCATAGACCCCAGGACCACAGGCAGCCAGCAACACCAGGCGGAATCCTAAGAACACAGGAAGCAGGAGGTGCCCCACAGGGGTGGAGTGCCGGCTCTCCTCAGTCAGCAGCTTCCTCAGGAAACTGCCACACATCCTGTTATGAAGCAGAGGATACACATTAGTGACGGTGTGTTGCTCACTGTTCATTAGAAGGAGCTGCAGACTACCTTGTCACTCTTAATCCTAAGAGCCGTAAGGATCTGGTTGATCAGATACCAAGACTCTGTATCTATTTACTAGTTCATGTAATCGTCTTTGTAAAATAATAGTGAATGTGTGTAGGGGGCTCTCTCTCCCCTGCCGTCCCTTCTGTACTGCTGGACTGAAAAGGAACTCAGGGTGGGTGGAGGCCAGGGTCTGTCTTTGTCTCTCCTTCTCTCCATTTCCCAGAGCCTAATAGTAAGAGACCAGAGTGATGTATCTGATTACTCATCCTTTGAAAACAGTTTCCTCCCCCAGGTGATCCCTGCCAAGTCTGATGCTACTGCCATGCCACCTTAATCAATGTGCACTCTTGCTGGTTTTTTTTGTTTGTTTTAAGAGATATTTTAGCTGTAGGGTGCATGCAATCACCAGAGAAACAGAAAGCAAGAAGTCATCCCTCCAGGGGGGATGGCCAGGTGCAATCCCTTCTCTATTCTTCTCTCAAGATTTTGGGCATGCATGCATCCTGGTGCGTGAATGTAAGACCACCAGGTCCAGGATTCAAACTGTGTTGACTACATGGGAGTCCAGCAACATGACCCTTACACCATCTGTTGGTCCCTGTTTTTGTTTTGTTTTAAGTTTATTTCTTTCATGAGAGAAAGAGAGAGAGAGAGAAACTGAGGGACAAAGACAGATTGGCACCACCAACGGGGTCCTCATGCTGTAATTCATGCCCAGTGTCAGCCAGCTTGTGTCATGGGCACCAGTGTGTGCATCTGGCTTGTTCGGGGAGGTCCTGGGATACAAACCCAGAACCTTTCCCATGTAGATCCAGTTGTATTACTGCGGCTCACTCCTCAAGCTGGTCTTACTAGTTTTTGTTTTTTGTTTTTTATTCTTTTTGGCCCTGGGCGCTCTCCCATAGGAGAGGCAAGATTGTGATGCACTTAGTTTAGGGAGTTAGGTGGGTATAGGATGAAATAAACAGAGCTAGTGTCAAGACTTGCTTTAGTCTGTTGCACTTTAGACCTTACCCCCTTAGGAACTTTTTTTTTTTAAAAAGAGAGGTGTTTTTGCTATAGGGTACTTGTGCTCAGCAGAAAGACAGAGAGAGACAGAGAGACAGAAATCGAGAAATCACCCCCAAGGGGGGGATGCCCATGCTGCATTCCCTTCTCCATTCTCCTCGCAGGATCTTGGGTACACACGTACACATGCACACACACACACACAGCATGAATTTAACCTTCCAAGTCCAGGACTAGAACCTTAGTCGATTACATGGGAGTCCAGTGATGTAACCATTATGCCATCTGCTGGTCTCCACTTAGGAACATTGTAAAAAATAATTCAGTGGAATTCACCAGGCTTAGGGCCAAAGTCAGAGCTGTTGGAGTAGAAACTCAAACTTTAACTCCCCTTCTCCATTGTGCTGAAGTTACATACTTCCTTCACCGGCCTTCCTCAATTTATAGCCATCTTTTTTTTTTTTTTTTTTTTTGAGGGTTTTTTCATACGTGCGCTCGCCAGAAAGACAGAGTAAGACAGAGAGACAGAAAGCGTGGGATGGCCACGCCACAATCCCTTCTCCTTCTTTCTCTTCTCGGGATCTTGGGCACACATGCACACGCACCTGGCATGAGTTTAAGCCACCGGGTCCGGGACTCAAACCATGGTTGACTACATGGGAGTCCAGCGACATAACCCTTACGCTAACTGCTGGTCCCTATAGCCATCTTCTTTAGCCCAAGCTCTTACATGATTTCCCTCAATCTCAGAAGATCATGCACTATTGTTTAAATGTTAGCATTCACCCACCCCCAAATGCATACGTTGTAACCTAACACAGTAATTTCTAAGTATCCATGGGGAATTGGGTCTAGGACCTCCTGTGAATGCTGAATCCACAATGTTCAAGTCCCTCTTATAAAATGGCATAGTATTTGCATGTAACCTATGCACATTCTCCTGTACACTTTAAATCATCTCTAGATTAATTATACCTCATTTAATATAAATGCTATGTAAATGGTTATTATATTTGTTTAGAAAATTATGACAAGAAAAAAGAATATGTACATGTTCAGTACAGACTCAACCATTGTAGGCCTAACTGCATAACACATGTCAGCAACAACATAACATTTTCAATATGCATTGATTGAATCTACAGATACACAAGATATATACAGAGGGCTGATGGCAGCCAAAGGGATAGTATTAAGAGGTAGAATCTGGAGCCATTGAAGTCACCATCAATGAGCGACAGGCCTTCACCAGACATCGAGTCTGCTGCTATCTTGATCTTGGACTTCTCAGCCTCCAGAACTGTAAGAAATACTTTCCTATTTATAAATTATTCCACCTGGGCCAGCAGGTGGTGTGGAATTTAAGGAGGCTGGATCACACATGGCCAGCTGTGTGGTTTGAGTCAAAGCCAGCAGCTTGAAAATTGTGCTGGGTATATGTATATGCATGCCCAAAATCCCAAAAGGAGAATGGAGGGGAAGGGACTGTGGTATGGCCGTTCTGCCTAGAGGGTGATTTCTACCCCCCCTCTGTCTCTCTCCAGCAAGCAAGCAAGCAAGCAAGCAAATAAATAAGAACCAGCAGTTAGTGTAATGGCTATACTCCTGTACTCCCATGTTGTCGACCGCAGTTCACGTCCTGGATCCGGTGGCTTAAAACTCTCACCGGGCGCGTGTGTGCGTGCCCAAGATCCCGAGAGGATAATGGAGGAGAAGGGATTGCGGCATGGCCATCCCCCTGGGGGTTGATTTCTCGCTTTCTGTCTCTCTCTGTCTGTCTAGCAAGTGCAGGCGCCCTATGGCAAAAACCTCTCCAAAATAAATAAATAAATAAACAAACAAACAAATAAATAAATAAATAAATAACCCCAGCTAAGGGAGCACAGATGGCATAATGACATTATTGCTGGACTCCTACATAGTTGACCGCGGTTCAAATCTTGGACCCAGGGGCTTAAAATTTATGCCGGCAGAGTGTGCATACATGCCCAAAATCCTGAGAGAATGGAGGAAAAGAGACTGTGGCATGGCTGTCCCCCCAGGGGATGACTTCTCACTTTTGTCTCTGTCTCTCTTCAGTGAGCACACACACCCTATAGCAAAAATCTTTCTTAAACAAAAAAAAAATCCCAGCTAAGGTACTTTGTTATAGCAGTCTGAGAAGCCTAAAATACCAAGCACATCTCATTTTTTAAAAAGTTTTGCTATAGGGTATGTGCGATTGCCAGAGAGAGACAGAGACAGAGAGAGAAAGTGAGAAATCACCCCCCTAGTCAGAATGGTCACATGCCATCCTTCTCCTCTATTCCCTTGTGATTTGGGGGGCACACACACACACACACACACACACACACACACACACATACCCTTCAGCATGATTTTCAAGCTACTGTGTCCAGAACTCAGAACCGCACAGTTAACAATGTAAGGTCCAGCCACTTTAACCATCTCACCATCTGCTGGCCCAGCCTCACCTCTTATTCGTAGAGAAAATAGGGACTCTGATATGAATCCTCATAGTCATTACTTTCTCTTATCTTCATATTTACTTTTATCTCTAACATTTTAGGGAAGGAAGTGGCCCTACATTTGTCCAAGGCTACTCACCCTTCCAAATCTGTGTCCTTGGGAGAGGACTTCCTGCTTCTTCCAGAATTTGATCCCAAAATTATCTTTTCTGCAATTCAGACTATTTTGCTTTTTTCTTTATGAATATGTCTAGATATCTTCTTTAATAATAATAACCTGGGTTTCTAAGTTAACATGACATCAAATGAGACTTACCAGAGACCAGCAGTTGGCTATGCTGCTGGACTTTCATGTAATCAGCCATGGTTCAAGTCCCAGACCCAGTGGCTTAAATGAATGAGTGAATGAATTAGTGAAGTTAAATAAAATAATTCTAAAAGAAAAAAAGGGACCAGCTATTGGCATAATGGCTATGTCGCTGGACTCCCATGTAGCTGACTGTGATTCGAGTCCTGGACCTGGTGACTTAAACTCATGCCAGGCATACATGTGTGCGTACCCAAGATCTCGAGAGGAAAATAGAGGAGAAGGGATTGTGATGTAGCTATCCCCCCAGGGCGTGATTTCTCACTTTTTGTCTCTCTGTCTCTCTGTCTCTCTGATGAGCGCAGGCACCCTATAGCAAAAACCTCTTCAAAAAAAAAAAAAAGAGAATTATCTATTTTGTCCCATACCCCAATTATAAATAATACCCAGAAAGATGCAAAAGAAATTTTATGTGAGCATCAGTGTTATAAAGTTTACACAAAAACATGCAATATGCCAAGGATTGAGCAGATGGTTAATTCTACAGATGGTATGGATTGAAATTCTTCCAAGTGTCTGTTCTAAGTATCTCAACTGATCAGAAAAATATGTCATCGTCTACCAATTGTGAATGAGATGTATTTTGAGCTAGTAGAAGTCAGAGTTTTCCTCTCAGTCCCTATAGTCCTGCCTGTATCATAAACTGAAGCATATCAGTGTTCTTCAGAAAGTTCATGGAAAATGCATGTTATGAAAAACTATGCATGGATTTTTTTTGTATGTGTGCACTCAAACTCATATTTTAATTCTTTTTTTTCACCACTGCAGGCATCAGCAGTATATCTGCTGCTGGAAATTCTTCTCCATATAGATGGGTTAAATTTTTCATAAGAAATTAATTTTCAGTCTCTAGAAAGGTACAAAATTGGTCTCATCATAAAGATGGCAAGTTGAAGATATTTTATTCTCTCAATTCTGAGACTCCTAAAAAATTATAATAATGGATTTTTTTAAATGTGTAAGCCTGGGCCAGCCAGTGACATGGTGGCTAAAGTAACTGGATCCCACATCACCAACTGAGCAGTTCAAGTCCTGGACTCAGCAGCTTGAAAAATACATTGGGCCCACATGCATTTGTGCCCA